GCCCTTGCTTTAACTCCTTATCCCATCTTTTATTCATCTACCTATTTTAAATCCATTTTTTGCAAAACTGTTAGTTCCTGCCTTATCTCTTATTCTCAGACTGATTCACCCACCTATTTATCTCTCTTTTTCTCCCCAACTACTTTACAACCCATTCGCATCCTCTTCTCTCCATCATAAGTTTTGACTAATTTGTCAACTAGACTTTTTTTTGATTAGAACAAAACATTCTCTGTCTAAAATGAGGTTTTGGTAACTTACTGAATACCAGCAAGCGTATGCAACCCCTCATGGGAATTTCTTACACAAAACCTTGATAAACCTTTTTTTCGAATAATCAGGCACCACAATGAAATTGTGGACAATTCAAAGGGCATTGAGGGTGGGATGGGAGGAGAGAAAAGAGAGAAAGGACTCAACTTCTTTTGTCTTTAGCCGAGAGGTCTGCGATAGCAACTTTTGTTCGTGCTATCAAACAGGACAATGCATGGGGAAAAGGCGGCTGACAAGTAAGCAAATTTGACGGCATCGGGGTTAGCCCACAACAACCACTAAAAGAAGACTGAAAAGGGAGGGGGGGATGGCAGTGGCTTTCAAAATAAACAACGTCTAAAGGTTCTGATTAGGTCATTGTTAGTGCAGCAATGAAAAGAGTTAAGCAATTAGGCTTAGCGAAGACCGACACAACTGCTGTGACAGCGTAGATGACCTAAGCAGCCATCCATTCCACCATCGTGGAGGTGAAACTGCTGGAGAAGCCTCAAATTTAGAGGCAATTTTTGGGGCAGGAGTTACCCTTTACCCCCATGCTTGCGTTTCTGACAGTCATGAAGTAGAAGTCAACCTCAGGGCCGAAGGGAAAATCATGCAGCAGTTTTGCATCATGAGAAGGAAGCTTCCAAAATTACTAGAAAAGACCGGGGAGGTATTTTCTATCTGGTACATTTCATGAGGTCATATGCTGAAAGCAAAACTCATGTCATGAGATGACCTTCCAGATTCATGCTCAATGCTTCAGCTTTGGGTGCTTCTGTCGAAAAGGATAGCGCATGTGGGAAAAGTTGGCGTTATCTTCAACAACACGCCTTCCACTAGATACTCCTCTCCCATAGTGTATAGTTGAGGTATCGGTGAGGTGCATTACATTTCAAAGGCTATAAAATGGTCCACCTCTGCACTCATCTCCTCTGCCTCGTTCTAGGTCGATGCTGACGAATTGTTGGGCATCTGCAGCGTGGGACGACAGAACACAAGGGCCATGCTGATATTCGTTCTAATTCCACAACTTCTCTTCCTCATTGTTGGTCTCCTTGCGTTTGCCTGGTGCATCATACAACTCTTCAAGATCAGACGCTCCTTCAAGCAACGTCAGTTGGCGCCCAGTGCAACACTCACCAATCTGGACGCGCAGTCGCGTTACCTTGTCTACCATTCGGATCAGCAGTCTGAGTTTAACACCACAGTTGTGGGCGGCCGTGAAATTGGCATAGGTGAACATGGCAGACGGTCTTCTTGCTATTGCTGCTGTCACAGTCTACGATGGGACAGTCTCAGCACTAGATTGGGCTTCTTCAGCCTACTCTACATCATTCCAGCCGTCACTGTTCTCGCTTGCGATTTCTACGAGTACCTCAATCGGGACAAATGGCTTGCTGGAGATCCCATGAGTGCGATCTCTCGAATCATTAAGGCTGCAAGCTCAGCATCATTCGATTTGGAAGAGGCCCAGGAGATCACGCCTGAACTATTCCTCCTCCGGACCTTTATGTCTCTGGTCACTGGATTTGCCACCTGTTTGTGGATACTTTCTGTGAAGGGAATTGAACCGTGGCGTTATCTGGGTCGTCAATTAGGAAATCGATGTGCTGGAAGATGCTGCTTTGGTGGAGCTCTAGTGAAAACCCCGAAACTACAGCAGCAACAGCAACAACAGTCGAGTGTATCTCCACAACAAAGCCATCCAGTATCAAGTAAGAATACTCCAAGCAACACCTCGACAGTCCTTCATCCCTACGCCGTGTATCAACACTGCTGTTCCACGACAAAGTCGTCTGGTGATGCCTTGGAACGCTGTCCCTATACTGTTCGACCTCCAGCTGGACCCGGAGTCGACGCAACTGACCAGTTCTTTGTTCAACAATCAGCTGGTCTGGCTCTGGCATCACCCAATCAAGCGTCGGGATATTACAGCTCGGCTACAACTACCAATAATAGCGTTGGATCCGGATCTGGTGTGGGTCCTCGACCACCTCCCAACACACCTCCAGGCACCGTAAATGGTGACTCCAACCCGGGATCATCAGCTCATGGAGTGGGGTGGTGGGAGATGAACACCAACCACCTTCATCATCACCACCACAAACAGCAGAAGTCACAACCGGGTGGATCGAGTCGACATGCAGTCTTGTAGATAAAACAATCTCTCTTTTTTCTCCCTTCTGGATGAACAGGGTTATCCTTCCTCCTCTGCCTCCTTCCTTTTTATGGATATTTGTTATTTGCACTGACATCTTCAATCTTGCCCCGTGGTTGTTCAATCGGTCTGTCAGGCGGAGTTGATGGGCGTAGAGACGGTTGGACAGACACTGCATATGGTCTTTCGTATTTAAGTTCCCACTCTCCATCTTTATATCTCTACGTTGATTTCCTCGTCCCGATCATGTGCAACATTCAATCATTTGAAAGGTAAACATTCATCTCCTTGTCATACACCTCCATTGTCATTCAATCAACTTTTACTGTTTGCAAATGTCTCACTACATGTATGTGTATCCGCGCAAATTTTGCCATCAGAAAAGCTAGAAGACAAAAATAAAGTCTAATATTTTGACAGGAAATTCAATTTCCCAATTGGTTAGAAGTACTCACTGATAAAGGTCTTCGAGTGACGGCCGAATTAGAGAGACTAATCACTTGTCTAGGCTATTTTGCATAGGTCTGATGATTCCAGGGGAGGGTGGAGAGAATCGGGGTGTCATGTGGAGGAAGGCGCTGTTGTCCACCTATCCAAACTGAAGTGCAAACTTTACGGCGAAGTTTTACTGTAGGAGAGGGGGTATGATGTCATTCGCTATCTTGCTGATTAGCTAATCTGGCTTATTCCCTAAGGAGAAATTACAGCAATACACCTTCGAGCTCTACTGCATTCAGTGGCTGGATCTCGGCCGTGTCTAACCCTCTGGGAGTGAACAGTTCCTGGGGGCCAGTTGCGTCAGCTGTCCATCACGTCTAAAATATGCAAGTCCTCTGTTCTGGGGATGAAGTGGTCCCTGACCACATCCGCGGAGTCGGTAGTTTGGCCCTAACCAGCGAGAAATTGACCTGCATAAATAAACAAATCTCCCAAAAGGAGCTTGAAGGGAGGGAGGAAGAAATTGCCCATCTGCCAAGTCTTTCCTTTTGCCAACTATTGAAAACCCTCGCACAACAATTCCAGTTCGTGTCGATGCAAACGACTTAGTCTATCACTAGCATCAGACATTACTAAAAGTTGTCTTCAATAAGTTGATCTTGAAGTTTTTGTGCTAGAGTAAAGACAGTCTACTTTTCAAGTCTAGAAGGTAGGATTTGGAGGAAGGGAAACGTCGATGTGCTCAGAAGCACTGGAAGCTTTGTGGCCTTAGTGGTAGACAAATCGCGCTGTCATTAAGTTTACCTTGGCTGTCATGACTGGTACACACATGTACTTACCTGGCTACCCACCCATTTACCCGCCTGTCTGGCTGTCTGTCAGTTGGTCTATCCAAATACCTAATGAGCACGATGGCCAACCAGTGGTTCCAAGATTACAAAAAAAAGCTGCAGAAAGGAGGCCATTACAATTGCCTGAGGGCCTTGAGGAATTTATTGCCTTAGCAGCCATGACAACAGCAAAACACAGCAAATGGGGGTTGGAAGAAAATGAGGTAAATGGAACAGTTGCATGACAGTCCTTCATGGAATGACTCATAGTGGGTACTAGTACTACCATAGCAACCGCGGAATGTCCACCTGTGACATGTTGCTAGGGCAGTTTTGATTGACAGGCTGTGAGTGTACCTTAGTTAAGGGGTCGCGTTGCACAGACCTCTGACAAAGACGAAATTGGAACTACCAGCATGGAAGTGGACTTGTGAGTAACGTATGAAAGAGGTGAGAGACTGCTGGCGCAGCATGTTTGCCAAGCCGGGAGGACGGACGACCTAGCAACTGCTGATCTGTTGTTTAGCCATCTACTTCTTTCAGAGTGTCTTCAAATCAGTTGGTGAATCTTCCACATACCTGTCTTCCAGTGAGCTAGTAGAATCTGCGAGGGGAGATGGCGTCTCTCACCCATCCCACCTAAAGTAAAAACTTCTCACGGCCAAACTTTGCATCATGGAAGAGCATGACGTTGTGTCTTGCCCTACAGGAGTAAGAAAATAATTTTCTTTAATTCAAATTACTACTCCTGCCTACTTTTTAAGAAGAAGTAATTCCCTCAAACCTTCAAGTTCCACGGCGCTGAAGGGATAAACATGGGCAGCGTACGTTTGACCGTCTTCGGGGGAACACCTGCTTCTGCATCCATTATTTAAACGCACACACACACAGAGTCAAGGCAGCCACAATGTTCTGAAACGGAAGTAAAGGCGTCTTTTCTCATCGAAGGATAGAGTGTTCAACGTAAAGAAAGAAACGTCGGTATTTGCGAGGCTGACTACAGCTACAAAAAAGCTTTCTTTCCTATCTAATAATAAAGGATTGACTAGCAAAATATTTTCATTCATTACATTTTAAGCCAATTAGTCAAGCCTAACCCGAGAAATGAATGCCTCCTACAAGCCCACGCAACCTTGAATGATCCATTGTCGGCAGTCTGGGCAAATCACTTCCTTTTGTGCCTTTGTAGCGGGATATCTGGTGCGTGCGAGGTGATTTGGCTAATTTCTATCAATTAAATGGCCATTCCAGACACAGCAGTCTAAAATTAAGATCGTTTAACAATATTTTCGGCACCCGAAAGTTTGCTTGACTCAATGAGTTAATCCACTGGTACCACCAATGGGTTGATATTTTACCTCCAACAGGACATAAACATGAAAAAAGAGTGGTATTTCTATCTACTTTGGAATTGCAGTTAGACCCGTTGCCCCTCTACCTCTGCGATGACTTATTACTGATATTGCGGAAAATCGTGTTGAGCAAGCCACCTTTTCATGCATTAGATTTTACCATGCCGATCAAAAATCACCAACTGTGCTACTTTCTTCCTTTAGCTCAGTAAAATTTTCCGTATATCAAGATGGAAAACTTTTAAAGAAACGAGTTTATAACAAAATTATTCATGGAAAAGAAAATGTTTGCCTTGTGTATAAAAAAAATTCACATCCTTGCGGTGACCTTGAGAAGCCAATGAAAAATGGCCGAGCGAGGTACGCTCCTGAGAAGTTAAATGTAATTAGAAAGAAATTACTGTCCAAGAAAATTCTAATTTGAATGTCCCTTTCTGTACGTCAAGTTGAAATGAAGCAGACATCCAGTCTTCAGAGTTCCCGTTAAACCATGCAAAAAGACAAAAGGGAGTGGACATTTTTAAGAATTCAAAACGTTATAACTTTTTTCTTGATTAAATTAACTCCCTGAAATACCTTGCTTAATCGTATTTGATAACTATGAATGTCAGAAAAGTAATTTATTCTGCTTACAAATTCCAAATTATATTTAAAGCAACAGAATATATTATCCGATCACGTGTCTCAAAGCAATGATGGGGGATACCTCTACAGGCGCCAAATTACAAGGCTTCCTGTAGCATCCCAAGGCCATGCTGACGTCCACAGTCATTAAGAATGTTAAAGTCATGAAAACAAATAAATGAAATGATTGGTCGGGGCGCTGATGCAACTTTAGTAGTGCATAAATGTTAGACTGACTTCGCAAAGCACAATTTTTCTCCTTCTTCTGACTGATACATAAGTTTGTTTCCTCTAACTTTGTTATTTAGTTGTGGCACAACTAACGTCTCCTGTCCATTACTTCAGGAGTAAAGTGACTTGATTGTCATCGTGAAGTGTTGTGAAAAAGTAGGTTACTTGTTTATCAAATCTCTTGATTCTACGTCGGTACAGGTAGAGGGGTTGGCAAATTTTCGGAATAAACCTTAAAATTTTACAGAATACTGTGGTTAAAAGTTACTGAGTTGCTATGGATGCGGACACGGACAGTACGGTTGCTAGCACTGGTGCTTCGGCTAACGCTACTTTGTTGTTGCTGTTACTGCTGTTTCTGCCGGTAAGCGATGCTTTTTTTGTCGAGAGTCAGCGATCTGGCATTTCCGTCCTCTGTCACGACACCGCTCTTTCTGCAGTCGCCTCCGCCTCCACTACTGCTTCTGCAGCCAACTTTTTCCCCAATCCTCCTCCAAAGTGCGCCCGTGTGTCTGTGTGTGTGTATGTGTGCATCCAATCTTTGCGTGCAGCCTCTGTCTCCTACTTTTTGTCCCTTTTTGTTTCCTCTTCCTCCCTCTCTCCTCGTCAAAACTCCTCCGATTTTCGGCAGGAGTCATGATAAATCTTCCAGTTTGAATCTAAACGGTTATTACTTAAATCAAAGGCAAATGAGGGGTTTCTGTCCAGATAGATGACTACACCCTTGGAATGATCAAGTGGTTGAAGATTACATCAACCAATTGAAATCCGTGACTGTGGAAATTGTTACCTGATTGTTAAACTCATTCTAGTGCTTTGAGAGTGTCGAACTTGACGCATTCTTGCATATTCTTATCCTTCTGCCCTACCTTACCTTCCCTCTGTCGAGCCGCAATGCAGACATTCTCATGGGTTACCTATGTGGTACGGTAGTGAGGCCGTACGTTGAGATGCTTGCCGACTGCCGATTCTGTTACACCCGCTCTTTCATCCAATTGAAGAAAAAAATAAAAGGCTTTCATTTAGCGAATTGACTGATCAAATTTTAAGGAATCGGTCCTTATGGCGGGGGGGGGGGACGACTTCTCCCTTCTCCGATTTGGATACAGCAACAGTCTCCGCGGTTCCTAAAATCGCATCAATCAGGTTTAAACAAATTATTTGCTAAAAGAAAGAAAGTACGGAGAGCACCTTAAATGCCACCTTACTTATGGGTTGACGCATACTCATCATCTACATCAAAATGCATTTTACATTTACTTACTGAAATGACTCTGTTGAAAAGATTGTGTCAATTATAATTCAAACAAAAATTAACAAAATAAGACACCTTTTTATGGTAGTAATGGTTAAACGATTATAATGTTCAAATAGCTGGGATTTTGATTAACCACCTTAGGGTCACTCGTGATTGGTTTAACATTATGGTTTTCATTAGTAACCTCCTCGCGCCAGTGATGACCTCTTTATCTCAAACTAATTGTTTGTTTTGATGTCCGATGTACCTGTCATCTTTAAGTTTATTGCACCTAGTGCTTTTAACGATAAAATTAATCCCAGCTTCTGAGTAAAAGAAAAAGTGGGTGAGGAATGAGTCACTTCTATAATTGGTTGATTAAAATATTTTTTTTTTCATATTTACTGTGCCGAACAATTTTCTCTTTCTTAGAGAATGTGTTAAAAGTTGGTTAAATTCTTTGCATATGTGCTCCGTCACTCCCCCTTTATTCCTCATTCGAATACTTCTTTCATTTATTTCGTTATTTTGGCAAAAAAGTAACAATCTGAAGATGTATCAGTTCCCTTTTATAAGAAAATTCAGAGCGGGTGAAATCAAGTAGCAAATATCGTCACAGAAGATAATGCTAGCTTAATAAACGTATGATAGAGCCTAACTTTTGTTCAATTATTCAACTTTTCATTGTGTACTCACATATTTTTTTCTGACGCAAATAATTGAATGTTGACATTTTGCGGGCTTTTTATTTTTCCAACGTCTAGTGCTTTTCGTCGGATTTTGATTTGTTCCTACAAGGTCATAGAAGGCTGCAGTATATTTCAATTAAATGAAAAGCAGTGTCTTTTTTTGGTTGAAGGGAATTTCCTGATGTTTTATCCCTATCACCTAGGCCGCAGACCTTTCTGCTCGTACATGCTTTTGTTATAGCCCCATCTTCAGATTCCCTGCTTTTAGACTTCTTTAATAACATCTCCAGTACTAGATCAGTGCCGTTGCAGCAGGATCTGCTTAATATCTTCCACTATTTACAAGGAAAGTAGTCAAATACACGACTGCCACCGTCTAAATATCAGAGGAAAAACATGTGGGGCAATCAAAGTACTTCACGTTTCATTAATACATGCAATGGTTTAAAAGCTAAAAAAACAAGCTTTGTGCAATTAGGAGCATTTTGCGCTTATTCTATTGCTTTTGATATTGTTTAAGCTCAGGCACTTGCCACAAACGCGAATTGATGTGAGAAAATTGAGGCAGCACATGTATACAACGCCTTTAGGAGTCGTGAATTTTGGCAATCACCTGTACGTTTAATCAGTATCTATTTAGTCATTAATAGTTTAAATGGTTCCGAATGATTAGCTCAGCTTCTCGTTTGTAATAACTGGGTTTCCAGCAAGCTCACCCTCATTCAGAAGAAAATGTAGGAACCCTTTTGTCTAGTTCAGGATCTAATGTTCCGGACCAAACACTTCCTGGTATCAAATGAATTGCCTATTAGTAAATATGACTGCCACCAAAACCAAGTTTTAGCCTGTGGCGCCTCGACTTGCTTATTCGAGTTCGTGTCACAAATATGTGACACCTGTATTTTACCACCTTTACCAATCAGTTTATCGCAAACAAATTGACCTAATCAAAAAAAATGATATTTCTGGATTAAAAAGCAACAAATTTTTGTTTTTAAGGGATAGATGATGACTTTTTCATGCTAATAAAGCACTGGTGGTGGTGGCCGATCTTCCTCTGAGCCCCATCGCGATGTACAATAAGCACATTGATGCCTTCTTAACACAATGACACCACCGTGTTCATATAAGTTAGTGATCTATTCTATTTCTTTCCTTCATAGAAGGAAGACAAGAATTTTTGACATTCTACTATCCATAATTGCCCGCCTATTTTAAGAAGAGAGATCTCGTATCTCATTGGCCGACTCAAGGTCGAACAGTTGTCACATTTTCCTTCTACCTACCATTTGTTTAAGCTATCAATAGTAAATAGTACTTTGCAAATCAGGCGGGGATGAACCGCAACAATAGCACAAGTCGTAGGGCTTGGCTTTTTAGTCTCCTCTGCCACAATAAACAGTAATTATATTTAACTGAGAGCCAAGGCCAATTTTTTACCTCTTTTAATAAGCAAAGACGTATGCCACATTGTAAGTGTAGTACCTTCACTGAGCTTTCCAGCGACATTGTTCTACGCTGAGCCTTCAGGTCGTAAAGGGTTGATTGAACGATTCTGAGGTGTGTGACAGAATGTCATCGTCGCGCATCGAGTTAATCTCGGATCGAAAACTACAGAAGCTTGTCGTCAAGACGCAATGCAAAGTGGCAGAAAGGACCACACAAAAGTGGCTAAAACAAAAGGGTTTAGGGTAAAAGCGTTGTCAAAACCAAACCTTGGAGATGTTTACCGTGTGTAAAAGCATCGACTGGCGACAGCCAATTTCACAGGTCAAATTTATCTTTTTCAGATAAATATTCATCTACTTTTTTCCCTCCTCCTCCTCCTCGTTATCATCATCCTTAGCATTCTCTACAGTCAAACATTTGTCACCTTTCCATGGAAGTAAGGTGACATTTGGTTCCAACACCCATAGTGCACCACGACAAGTCTGCTGTAGGGTTGGACCACTTTCCGTAGAAAGTACTTTTCACACGCCGTACACCATCCAGCTGTCAGAGACGTGGAACAAGGGGTAGCGCCAGCGTCTTTAAATGCGATGACACTGCAGTAGTTAATTGACTTCTAGCAGATCAAAAGATTTGGAGGACCGTCAAAGGTGTCTGGGACCTAGATAACTCCCTTCCCTAGTGAATCCGCGGTGGATACCACCCTTCTACGACCTTAGAGTTTGACTAACCTTGAGGATTGGGTAATCTTGATGGTACTACCGATGCAGCCATCCAAGTTTCTACTGCAGTAGAAAAAATTTTATTCAGCGGAAGTTAAAAAATCTGCAGACGATTGCCCATTCCATCAAAGGGGGAAGGAATGCGGGGAGCTGGAGGGATTCATCTACTCCTGCTATTTAACGGCATATTTGACGGAAGTAAATTTTTTTATTTATTTTGAAGGACTTCTATACTTTTTCTAGGCTTGGGAAAATTTTTTTTTCTGCTTTATTTCAGGCTGTCCTTGACAGATGACTTTGACACGTTGGCAGCGCCTAGTTTTATCCACAAAAAGTGTTGTGTCAAAGAATTCGCAGATTTAATTTTAAGCACCCTTTCAAGGAGGAAAAGGGCAGGAAAGAATTTTTTTCAATTTTTGTTTAAAAATTACATGGGGTTTCTAGTCGACCTCCCAAGAAGATGTGTAAGTACGGTTGAATTCACTGCTTCCTGCGGAATGTCAAAATCTCTCTCCTCCACTCAACCTCCCTCCCCCTCGGCCAAAAAAGGGAATGAGGAAATTTGATGCAACCTTGCGTGGTGTAATTTGAAGGTTAAATGCTTTTGGAACAGCTAAATAGAGATTTTACCTATTGAGGTAAATCATACCGTGCAGAATGAGGAAGAAACATAAAAAATGGTAAAATAATGAATGAAGGAATAGCTGTACACTGATGGGCGTGGTGAGGATAACAATACAATTTGTTGATGTAAAAACCAGTATTTTAAATTTAAGAACTGTTCTATAGTCGTTGCCAAGGTTCTGAGGATGTGACATTACCATGCAGGGGGGCTAAAAGACCAAAAGTGTGGCGAGGGGAAGGATAACTTGTAGAGTTTGGACAGATTGTCGTCAGGCCTTTAAAAGTGGCATCGCAGGGAGAATGGAGGACTAATATTAGCTTCTGCAAACATCCTTCTCTTCGAGGCAAATTGTATCTAAACTGCACTGCTGAGAGCTGAACGATGCTGTCAGTCAACTGTGATCATTGAATTGGCATCTTTTTGAAGGGGCCAGTAGACCGACGAATGTGGAGTCATCTATTAGTGATCCAGGAAAGTTCAACCTGAGCTAACAGCAGTTACTGAAAGGGGTTTGCCGATAGCAGACACCGTTTTAATCATTCTGCTGTGATTCTCTGCAGAATCAGGTATTCACAAGAGAATTATTTCCCCAGGATTGCCCTCAACTTGCCTTGAAGCCGCTTGCCAGCGTCACTGGTCTTCGCCAACAAGCAGGAAGATGTAATATTGTGCTAGCAGACGTTAGTAGGCCCCGCCGAAGAAGGCTTGCACAGACAAACAAGCTATAAAAGAGAAACAAATCATATCTTATAATTTCACCTTGTTGGTGGTCCAAACTTGGTTCTTCTTTGGCTTTCAAAGCTCTCCTGAATTAGAAGCTACTGAATGCTGACTCAACTTCACTTTTTCGAGGTGAGGGAAGGTAACAGCTCATTGGTACAGCCCTTTACGACAAGGAGAAAAGACAACGTCTTGATCGGGAGCAAGACCAAATGTTGACGTACCTCGTGCCATATTTCCAACCTTTCCACATTCGTCGTCCACGGCAATGCCGATAACCACTTTCGATGTTCATCATTACACCGATATTAAGGGGAAGTCACCTAAGTGTCAGGAAAAGCGGATCGTCCGATAGTGGTTATGCATGGTAGCGACTTAGAAGCCCTTCTTTATCTTGTAGACTTGAAATCTGATTTTGTGAACCAAAGTAACGTCGTGCGATGAAGGAGTGAAGCAGACTGCCCTAGGATGCTGCAGCCACACGAACAAGTCCTTCCAGGTATGAGCTGGTTGCTTTGACAGATGTGTAACTGAAGCAGCGGGGAAGAAACAATTGCCAAGTGTCCTAATTTTTTTCCTAAAATATCATGTTTTATTTACACCGTATCTAGGGTACCTAGTGAGCACACCAGGGCTGGATTTATCTATTGCTTACTGAAAAGGCTTATTTCAGTAGTATCCTCCAAGTTTAGGCATTATTCTACATGCACGCAAATCCTTTTCGCGAGACCATCTGTCCGAAAACAGAGCGTAAATGAGGTCCTCCTAGTTTACTCCCAATTTCACCCACCCATTGCTCAGTCATCTCTCACTGGCATTTGCCAACTCTCTTGAATAGGATGCAAGGTAAACCCCAGCACTCCTCCCTGCTGATGCAGTGGTGTGTAACTGAAAACTTCTGCAGCTTTCAAACCAAATTAACCGTGATTTATAGGAGTGACTGTCTTATATTACTCGTAAAAATGGCTATTGTTTTACTGATGTCTTCATTTGGCTTCACCGAAGTTTTAAGTCACCTGACAGCTTTCCTATAAACAGTAGAGAAGGCGTAGGCGACTCGTAACTAAGGCCCACGCCAATGTCGTGCAGCTGGAGACGTGAAGAAGTGACAAGTAAACAGTGTAAACAAATCTTACTCCTCCCTCAGTTAAACCAGACAGATTATTTTCTGTAGAAAAGCCCCCTCTTTTTGCAAAATTTAATCGGCCTAAAATGGAGCAGATGAGAGAGACTGCTTCGTGGTGTAATCAAATGACTTCACTTTTGGTACTGTACATGTTAAATTGTCGAACAGAAGGAGAGGAGAAAAGGGTTTTTGAACATTATTATTTTGTCTTGTGGCTTGCCTTCGTTGTCTTTACTGTCTGCATTCCGAAGGTACCTACGTGATGGCGTTGAATTCTTCCATGCAGACAACAGGAAATCAGCCTTCCCACTCCCCTACCCGATGTTGTAGGTAGTGGTTTAGTCAAGTAGGTTTTATGAGTCGTTTTTTTTTTTTTGAAATTTGAATAATATGGATAAGTAAGGACTGGCCAATAGGAAAGAAGTAAGGATGCCGTTCATGGCTAATCAATCAAATTGAGTAAATGCACCGAATTTTTTGTTCTGCTTTTTTAAAATAGGCATGTTGAATGGCTGTTGAAGTTTTAAATCCATCTCTTTCAAATGTTAGGAAACTTTGGTAAAATCGAGGTCAATTTGATTCTTTTATATAATTGGTTGATGACTGGTTAACCGGATTCTAGCATAGGACAACCTTGAGGTAGTATCTTTCTACTGATATACTAACCTGGCTCTCTCACCAGCGTCACAGCCAAGTTAACGCCAAGGACGGGAGGTGTCGTCGAACGCACTGTATTATAAGTGGAAGGGGTTTTTCTGTCATCACCTAATACACTGGTAGGTCATCATGGAAGAAGCAGTACCACCTCAATGGAAGCGCTAAGGAGACCCATATCTTAATCAGGAAGTTAATAGTGGATGACGATAAGTCAACCTAGAAAATAGCACATGAGGTAATGTGAAAATTATCAAGTACGGAGCTGTTTACGGTTGTTGGACGGAGATATGCTAATTAGACGCATAAATAATGCCTCCTCCACATCTCTGGCAGGCGAAGGGGATCCACGCAGCCGTCAAAGACAAAAATTTTGAAGTTAAGTAGGTGCAGAGCATTAACTACTCCAAGTTACCCTAAACTAGGTGCCCCACTAGGTGATACCGATTGCAAGCAAATTTGCCCACGTATGCTGCTGTTGTTGAGCCTATTCTAGCAATGTCCAACCTGTGACTTCCATAACTAGAACCGTGGAGCCATCAACTCAACGAGACGCTGGGATCAACTCCTCTCTTGACTCGGAAATAATCATATTCTCCAATTTATTACTGCCGCATGATTGGCTTTTGTAGCACCGACTCCATTGTACTGTCCGCAGCAGAAGAGGAGCCGAGGGGTACCCCGACGGAGACGACGCTCAAGGAAAACACGAACTCATCAACGAAAAGATATGTGGTTTGCTTACTTATTGTTCCCCACAGACTTGGCTATCATCTTGATGTCATAGCGTCCAAGCGAGATTTAAAGATCTTGCGGCTCTTTTGTTCAACTGAGTCTCACAGACAGGCAGACTCAGTCTTATTCACTGAAAAGTCCAAAAATGCCGATTTAGATAAGAGCCTTCATTGTCGCTGATGTTGATGTGTGAGGCGATTGTTTGAAATAACATTAACTTTTGAAATAGGGCCCGTCTAAGTACGATTGGCTGCGCAAGTGTCAGTGGAAGTAAAGATTACAGCAAGGTGCGATTAAATTAGCCCGCGTAATCCCATTTATAACTAAAACAAACACTGATATAACCTAGAAGGTGCTAATTAAAACAAAAAAGGGCTTTTTTAAATCCCATTTTGATAAAAATTGGAGAGGTTTTTAAAATGTCTGCATTTGCAGGAACAGAAAATAAGGGTTGAGGAATGGTTAAACCATCCTCTTACAAATTATCTGTAATGCTTACGTGAATTTTGATTTTCTTAATTTTGTTTATGCTAATGAAAAAGAAAAACCTTGTATACGAAAAAGTCAGAAAAGATTTACATTTGGGGTAACGTTTGATTTTTTTCCTCCACGAAGACGACGTGATATTCTTCGTTATCAGAGAGCGTAATGAAAATACCCAACTTCTCACTTTTAAAAAGTCATTTTAAAAAACGAAAAAGTTTAAGTGCCACCGAAATGTTATTTTACGGCTCAACAATTAATTTGTGACTCAGACGGGCTGCGAGAGACTTGAGATACGATCAGGAGGAAGGTCAAGCTCTGGACAATTCTTGAAAAGCCTCAGTATAATTAAAAAATTTGCTTTTATGGAAGGCTAAAACATAGACAAAACCCTTCTTTTACACTTTGCTACGATTCCTTAATTATCACATTCACGTGATTGTCTAAACTCTTCGAGAGGAGGTGATAAGCTACACTGGGAGACAAATGTGGGTGCGGCAGTATCTTCTGCCCGTCCTGAGGTGGGTGCATAAAGTTTTCTATCGTCCAGGTTTGTCTGTGGCGCGATATGAGATCTTGCCATGTAGCATGATGGCAGGATTATTTTTTCCGACTGTCTCGACTGTTTCTCAGGGCAAGGGTTCTTTTCACCCTCCCCCCCTTGGTTGTATCAAGTAACTAGATCTCTCTTTCAACTGTGTACCCTTCAATTAATGAATCATTAATGGGGAACAACTCCGTCTGAAAGCGACTGCACTCCACGGGGCACAGTTGTCTTGGGATGAAGCGGTGCGTACTCTACACATGCAGTGGATGGATTGTTGATCGTCTGGACGAAAATAGTAATGTCTTTGGCAGATTAATGAAAGCTGAAATGCAAGGGGAATGCAATACGAGTCAGGCCGGTAGAGTAGATTCGTAAAGCAGACAGAGTGGGCTCAACCTTCTCCTTCTGGACCGATATTTGTGGTGCGAGAGTATAAAATGAGTTGCTAGGCCGTTATCTGGTAAATGGAGAAATGTTCTGTTCTGTAAGCGGAAACTTCGGTCTCTGCTGGTTGTACTTCCACTCCATACTGCCTACCGTGGCCTTCGAGGCAGGCTGGCAGACCTTGCTATCAGATCTTCTCTACGATAATAAGTAGTATGTTCTTTCGCTACTACCTTGGTCTATCACAATTTCGGGGAGGGCCCGGCGGGAAGCTACTGACAAAAATGCGGACTGAGTGGGTAGGGGCTGACTTCCGTAACCTCCTTGTTGAGGTCTGATGAAGTTCATTAACCCCAGTCTCTGCCGGACAAAATAAATTAGTAAAATTCGTTTAGAGGTGAACTTGCTGGCTCAAAAATACTACATTTTTGACGGCTTTATAGTCTAAAAATCGAATATCCACAAGCCCATGGTTCTATTTGCCATCCCACGGAACAATAATAATACATATAGCAGACCTGTCAATGTTAATCCGTTGTGAAATGAGAAAGAAAGGGCTGAAACCTCAAAGGTAAACACTCTTTGGTGTTAATTTGCCATATTTTCCCGCCTATCCTGTCGGAATCTCTGCATTACTTACCCATGGACTTTGAATATTCTAGCATAAAAGAAATGGATAAGTTTGGTCATGGTTTGGCTGATATGTATTTCAGTAATATGTTTGGGAGGTGCAATAGTAGCTTCATTGATGCTTTGCGTACATCTTCAGTCCCTCACTCCTTTACGCCTGTTTGCAATAAACTATCAGTAATACTGATACGTCCTTCTGGACTGATGGATATACAAGACAAACTCAATCTTGAAAAAAAAAATTTTGATTTACGTGTCCTTTTGTCGGTCAGAAATCACAAAAAAATGAGGTCATCCACTGCTCAATAATGGACGCATGGATACAGGATGGATGGACAAGGGGATAAAATGCTGAATAAGCACCAGAAGATTCCTAGACTGATTGACGACTACTGTGACATTGACGTGACTCCTGCTTTCCCATCAGAGCCCGTGCATCTCATAGAGATGTAACACATTTGATTTATATTACTCGGGTCGGAATGGGAAGGCAATGAACAAAGTGAATGACAAGTGATACGGGTGACGGGGTGGGAGTATTTAAGAGAAGGCCTTAAGGCCTCCATCCTCAGTGCACAGTATGCTAAAAGTACGTCTGTGGACATTCACAGGGCGCTGTGAAACCACAGTGGCGACAAATCATTTACGAGATTTCCATAATAGACACTACCACAATTTTACAATTTTCACAACACGGCAGCGTTGATACAGCTCTTCGACGCAGAAGTTCAGGCTGTTTTAAATCTCTCCATGATCTAAGCTTGCTCAAATTCCTAATGGAATACCATGGAGATGAGCAGTTTCTCACAGATGACAAAGCGAAGCTAACTGGCCTAGGTTGTAGTAGCTATATAAGCAAGTCTTTCCGAAAAGAGGTCTTTCAGGTACCATAATAATTCGGGAAGGAGGGTGTAAAGGTGGAAAAGCGAATTCATGTTTCACCTGACAAAAGTAGTCCTTTTGTTTTAATATACTCAAAAGCCCGCGCCTGCTTTGAACCCTGAGAAATATTTTGACACATGAGACTTAGAAACCAAAGCAGGCGTTTATTTGGTTTCAAAACCCAGACCTAAACAACAAATCTTTAATTATTTAATATTTTATTCTACCTATGACCCAATTAACTTAATTTATACCTGTGTCACACATACGTGACGTACTGAAGTTCTTACTTAAGCCTGCAATAAATGGTACCACAAGGAGCTTGTTTGAAGTTAGAATAGTGAGCAATAGATATTTGATTTTTTTTCTTGTAACGCGAACTAATTCGTGAATGGAACAGGATGATATTCAGGGCAATAAATTCTGTCTTCCCCTAAAACCCTGCCAGCAACCGATTTGACAATGCATTGGGAACTAGAGAATGACTAGTGCAATCCACGCCATCGACCAAAACTCGTACTCCTTTTGCTTGTGTACGTGTCTGCTGCGTTGAAGCAAGCCTTCAAAAAACCTCTCCTCCTTCCACCTCGCGTCTGCACACTAAGTTGATATGCAGGTCGGACAGAAAAGGAAGGAAAAAAGAAACGCGCGCAAGCTGATAGGCACACCCACACACACACAAAAATTTAGTTCCAGTGTGTTTGGGTCAAAAAAAGGTGAAAAGGAAAAGACAAGAAGGCGTGAAGTGAAAGGCAATGATAGGGTGAGAGTGGAAGAGAGGTGGGAGGGTAAGGAGATGTAATAGGAACTAGGTCTGACATTCCCCACCCATGCCCATATCTCAATTGGTAAAGGTAGTCAGCCGAACCGGAAACGGAAGCAACCGCTTCTGGCTGGAGGTTTTCAATTCTTCAGGACATTGGAACAAAGACGGGATTCCAAGTGAGTGGGAGGTGTTCTGTTTGGGGGTGGACAGAGAAATGGAAAGTAAGCAAATGGGGATCAATTCTTGTCAGAACTACAAAGACAGGTTTTTGTTATCAAGTCAAGGGATCAGATCAGAAGAAAAATTACTTCCCTTTTGATGGCTTCAGATGGGTCTCGGCACCCTAGAAAAACATATCGGAGCTGTGAGTTAATTTATTCCCTTTAAAAATTTCCTTTAAATGGGAACCTTCAAGCATCATCATCAACAATAGCAGTTGTCTTTTAAAGTAAGCCAGAGGTGAAAATGAAGGATGTTTGCAAGACCTTGCGTTGATTAAGACTACCAACCCAAGTGTGTGTGTGTGTGTGTGCGTGTACAGTTGCTTTGTTCGAAGAGACAGGAGAACAATTTCGTTCTGCCTTGACATCCACGAGTGTGTGCAAAACACACACAAAGAAAAAAGACGCAAATTTCGGTGTACTGCCTTAGGGGAAAAAAGGAGGTGAAGGGGAAGGAGGAGAAGACACGGAGAGGATGGTGAAAAAAAGGAGGTCGGGAGTCAGACAGTCAGTCGGTAGCGGGAAATACAAAAAATCCCTTGGGGTGGAAAGGGTTGGTAGCGAACTCATTAATTTAGACATTGGTTCCTAGGGGATTCATCCCACCAGAATTTCGGGTATAGAACTCTTAAAAATGACAATGAAGCTGTTTTAAAAATTAACTACCGATTTCCTCAAGTATTTGAGTAAATATTGGGTGTCAATGGCGAATATATTCGTCCATCTATCCATTCGAATTTCATCCACTGCCTTTCCTTTTATCCACCTGCAATTAGTGCTGAATTTGCACATTCTACAGGTAGGGAAAAATTAAGAATCCATTATGCCTAAATGCTTAAAAGGTTGAACTATACTACTCATTTACAAATGCTAGTAGTGAGCCAAAAGTGAATGCATCATGCCTATCTTGGTCAAGTCAAACAACAAATTTTAACTCACCAATTAGTCCTGAAAACACTTGTCGTACATTTCCAAAAGAAGTCGTCTTTAACGACATTAACGACCAGTGTAACTCCAATCATGCGTCGTATGAGTAAGCACCGCGCATTCATCAATGTCATCCCCTTTTGCGCATAAATCATTCAGCCAGTAAGCTCCACGAAGACGAATGAGGCACCGGAAATGCTTTAATCACCCAAACATCCATCGCATTGCAATGCTAAATGCCTCTGCCTTAAGGCGAATGAAATCGTCTGAGATAACGACTGCCTCCGACTAGGTGGAATGCGCGCAGCGGAAGGTAACATTGAATGCAATGCTTTGCAATGCGACAGATCGAGTCACTCAATCCCATCAAACATCGCACCATACAGAGCAGAGGCTATTTCTTTTTCTCTCTGACTACTCTAGTAGATGAATGGATTCATTCCATAATATTTGGAAACGTCCCTTTAACACATCATTACGTTTTTCGCCGACTGACTGCAAAATGTAGCAAGAGACAAGGAAGAAGAAATGAGGAACCATCTATACAAGTAGCCAGGGATTTGGAAGACAGAAAGCAGAATAGGATGGCCTAGCAGGAATGGCTTACTTACTGGCAGTTAGACCATCTTACGCCTATTCATTTCTCAGAAGCCGTGACGCAATTTTTACTTCCAGCTCTTCATTTCCTTGAATCTTAGCATTGCCAGGGGCAAGTGTATCAAGAGAATGAGGCGAATCGTGTTTGATTTTCCATTGTGTAGACGTGGAAAGGAGAGTGGACTGCTGACAACTAAGCAATAGCCAACGGCTCATATCCCAAACACATATCATGTGACTATCATTAGGTCCACTGTTCTCCTGGCCTGGTGATTAGGATGAAAAGGACCCACCTGGAGTGGAAATGCGGAATTGTGAGCGAGGTGTAGCAGGAGGGATTGACGACGAGGGCTGCATCTGTGTACCCAAAATCTGCTTTTACGTACGCATGCATGACTTTACGTATGCATGCATGCGATGTGTTTGCGCACGCAGAGATGCGTGGAGGGCAAAGGTTGTCCCTCCAGTGGCCTCTGTGAGAAGATTAAAGTGCTATGAGGTGGTACTGCTGGTGTGAGCAATGCAAATTGCTGCAACGTTCTGCTTGCAGCCACCATAGTCGGGGCATTCAGACCTTCACTTGCAGTCAGAGTAGAAACTAAATTTAAACGATGGCATTATTTACACAACTGGGCACAGTATGCTGATATGCACCACTCCATACCGCAAATCGCCCTCGAGTCTAGGCATGCCAATCCCTACGAAACAGCGTAAATTACGAAGCACACCTGCCTTTTCTATTAGTGGTTGACAGATTGCTCAAGAGAGGGAAAATCCTTTATCGTGCTTGTACACACTTAAACAATGGAAGCATTTGTGCCTCCCTTGTCTCCAATGCTCAAAAAGCTAGTTGTGCTTCTTGACATTAAAACCATTTCTACACCGCCAGCAATTGGATGAATATACACAATGCACTGCGGCGTCTCTTTCCTCAAAGATGAAAGGAGATTGTAGTGCATCTGGATCAGCAAAACTAAAGCAAATTCAAAAGCTCTTTTCTTGCCCCCCTTCCTGAGACACTCAATGATCAGCTTCACATGTTAACTGCATGAATGTAGCAAACCCAAGGATGCCCCTGATACGATTGCTTATCGGGCTTTTGTGCTACCCATTTCATTCATTCGCGTTGACCAAAATAACAAAGCGAAGCTTCGGCCTTGCCTTTACATTGAGAGGCCACATGGTGAAGTGGATGCGTATAGATTACTTTTTTGGCTTCAGCCATCACTTGGGTACCGGTTGGAGGAGGGGTAGTTTAATTAGAAAAGGGAGGCAGGTAGAAGCAGGTTATGTCAATGTCAGCATTTGACGTGACTGCATGTCAAGAGGGCAGATTTCCCCACCCTTGATATTAACACTGACACTCATGCTGATGTTGGCAGTGACAGTTGGATACACCAGAAAAACGTGAGTTGAATCTCAAGCAATCCGTGCTTTCGCTATCCCACTATCCTGCTATATCAGCATCGTTGTACCTTGGACATTCTTAATCATCATCATCACCATCATAGTATTGACGCGAGTAGGATTATACGCTAGTCATGTGAAAACGGTGTGATAACTTCACTGGCACACTTAAATTCGCTCCGCTTGTCACTTCTCCACAGAACAGGCAGCGTCAGCAGACGTGCAATGGCCGCCAGGGTGATGCGTAAG